TATGGCCTTCAAGATTAGTAAACGGCATATAGATGAATTTGAGTGGAGATGCATGCAATATGCATGTATCAAATATCAAACCACTCTGTCTATAAGATATGGTTCAATTCTTTCATCATTTAGAATTAATTTTAAAACTATTCTGAAGGCCATCTATTATTTTTCATTAGATCTTGAGTTACAGTTATTATAGAGCTAGCGCAGAGTAAAAAGGGACCGTTATTGGCTTTAAAAAATTATAGCCTCAAAGATTAAACAATATTTTGTAGATCATCCTATTAAATTTGGCGGCCCCAACATTATCGTGCAAACCGACGAGACAAAATTAAATTTTAATGTAAAAATCATCGTGGTCGACACATACCTGCGCGCCAAGCTTTAGTAATTGTTGATGTTTCATTTGTTCCGGCTTTGAGTTATTCTGTTATTGTTGAAAATCGTTCTGCAGAAGTATTACTATCTATAATAAATCAGATTGTAATTCCTAGGAGTATTATAGTAACAGATGAATGGAAGTCTTATTCATTACTAAATGAATAAAATATATATCAGCATCAAACAGTTTGTCATAAATATTGCTTTGTTGATCGTAATACCGGCACACGTACTCAAAATGTAGAGTCTTATAACAATAAACTAAAATTGGCCATTAAAAAATGAAGGGTTTAAATTTAGAACAAATAAAGTATTTATACAAGAGTTTATGTATAGGAAGTGCCCTCGAACGATAAATTTACATCTATAATTAAATTGTTTGAGTTTTGATTTTTTTCTTTTTACGGGGCCGTCTAATGAACCTGATGCGAAGTTTTTTATTCAAATTTTAACACTTCAATAATTTTATCAAATAAATTTTCTTTAAAATGATCAATAAACATAAACATAGTTAAAAATTTGGACAGTATGTTTCTCCAACTACTTTTTGAGCTTTAGTATTACATTTTATTTTATTATTTAGGCTTTCTACATTTTAAATATTTTATACCTGTAACAGAATTAGCAAAATTTCAAAATGATTAATTGTTTAATGACAATATCCGTTAATTTCGCTCAAAGCTTTGTAAGACGACCATTCACCAGTATGTATTTTTGTTCTTAGTCTAACTAAACTTTTTATTACAGGCAAAGGCGTTTCTTTAGTCCTGTTAGGAACCATCTAAGCCGTTAAGAGTGCCAAAACTCGCTGGAACGGTGTGTTTTTTAATAAACAATATTTGAAATAAAAAAAGTATTTAATGATTTTATCTCTTTATAATTTTTTTTGTATTTATAGTTTTAAAGGGTATTGATTAAACCACCTTTTAATCTAAAGAAAATTATTGGTTTCATAATAATTCATTTGTCAGAAAAGTAACAAATAATTATGATTGGTTGTTATGTGCAAGTACATAACAGTCTGCCTCCTTCAATTAGAGCTTAATATTTCTTATGTGATATCACTGACTTAAACCTTAAACTTTGATCCAAAACCCTTTGGCAGATACTTTTTCAATAGTATAAGGACCACCATATTGTTGACTGGTTTTATCTGCCAAAAATAATTTAATGTTGACAACATTTCCAATTTTATATTTGGTGCAATTTTTTACCGCTGTAGGTTTGGTGTTTACTTCCGTATATACCTCTCTACAACCACCCGGATTGAACATATTATTTCCATATGCTATGACTTCTGGAATACTGTTTATTGAAGTAAGGTAGTTATGGTTCAATCTTTGTCTTATTTTTGATAAAATCTTTTTAATTCCCCGATGTTTATAGATTCGAATAGTTTCTGAAAATATTTGATTCATCCTCTCACTTATTCCATTTGATGGGGGAGTATATGGTGGAACTGAGTTATACTTAATGTTATTCTTTTTCACGAATCTCTCAAAGATTTTGCTTGTGTAATTTTTTCCATTGTCCGATATGATTACTCAAGGACATGTGTGTTTTTGACACCACATTTTAAATACCTCGACTAATGTTTGACTTCTAACATCAGAAGTAAATTTTAACATAGTATATCTTGAAAAGACGTCAGTGATACTGATCAAGCATCCTTTCTCCTCCGAGTCATTTTCAAGCTTAAAAGGCCCATATACATCCGAAAATATTATAACCCACAATTTCTGTGATGTAATTTTTGCAGCCGGATAGTCCCTCTTCCTAACTTTTTTATTTATTTTTAATTTCTTTCATAACTGTTTCCTTTAACATTCTCTTTATTCCGCTTATCCTATAAAAGTCTTTAATATTGTAATAGCAGGCATTTAAATCAGCATGAGCGCTTGTCCTATGTATAAATTTGATAACCTCTTTCGCTTGTTCATCTTTGATAATTACCCATTTTCTATTATCTCTGTTAGTAAGATCGCAATACTTACTAATTTTCTGCTTAATCCTTATGCTTTTCGTCTCATTTTCTTTCAAGACATATGCTCTTGAAATAGCATCGGCCATCGCATTGTTTTCGCCTTTAATAAATTTTATATCAAAATTAAATGCGTTTAATAACAATATTCATCTATTCATCCTATTGGATAATGTACCATTTAGAAATGTGCAGTTTCGACTGTCCGTATAGATTTTAACATAATATCCCCGAATTAACTCTGCAAAATGTATTAAAGCTCTGACTATAGCAAAAATTTCTTTCTCAACTATCGAGTAATTCATTTCTGTTGGGTTTAGTTTTTTATTAAAATGGCCTATAATCCCAAATTCTTGATATAAAACTGCGCCAATACCCTTGTTAGACGCATCGCATTCGAGCATAAACTTCTTTGTGAGATTTGGATATTTAAGTGTCATTTCTTGTTTAATCTCATCTTTTATGTCTTCTACTGTCTTTTTGATTTTCTCTCTATATGTGAAAATTTTTTATTTCAGTAAGTCTGAAAGGGTACTACATCTGTGACTCATATTTTTTATGAATCGTCTGTACCAGTTCAAATTTTCTAACAGTTTTTGAACGTCTTTTTTTAGTCATAATCTCTTTACTAAAAATTTCATTGGTTAAATATTTTGTGTCAGGCCGAATGCCTTGGCTATCTATGATGTAGCCTAATAATTTAATCTCCTCTTTCCTAAATAAAGATTTTTCAAAATTGATTCTCACTGAATTTTCTTTTAGAAGTTGAAGAACTGACACAACATTCTGATCATGTTCCTCTTTATTTTTTCCGAAGATAATAATACCATCAATATACACAATGCAACTTTTTGCTTTTTGAAGTATGTCACTTATGCGCTTCTAAAAAAATTTTGGTCCGGATTTTATCCCAAATGGAATCCTGTTATATGTATAGGTCGGGTTAAATAATATAAACCCTATAATCTTACTGCTTTCACTATCAATTGGTACTTAATTGAAACCATTTTTCGGATCAATTTGTGTAAAGTATTTTCATTCACCTAATAACTGTAGGCTTTCAAATATCTTGGGTATTTGATAAGGCTCATCAACAATCCATTTATTGGCCTCTCGGCGCTACTCCATCTTTCCTCCCCCCCTCATTATTGTAGAAAATTAAAATATTTATTTTAAAGATTATTGGTTAAAGGAAATTCGTTCCTAAACATTTTAATTAATTTATAAAAGGCCATCCTTAGCGTCTTGTTATCGCTATTTTGAATATTTTTTTATCCATTTCCATTCATTTAAAAAAAATTCATTCTCCCTTTATTAATACTGCCACATTTTCGATAAGCATGCTTAAGATGAAACTACGGATTTTAAATTTGGTTGGTATGTGCTTCTTGAGCATTAACAAACCCAACAGAGTGGTTTACCACTTCATGGCAAGATCCAAATTCAGTAACGGCCTTGGGGTAAGATGGATAACCATCAGTAATAATGATAGATCCGGGTACAACATGTTCATCGAACATGTCTAATATAGTCGGAACTTCTCTGTTAGAAACAAGCTTCGAACAAAGTTCCTACAATTTCTCGCTTCTAAATCCCTTACTAACCATTGTATATTGGGTTTGTTGTCTAGGGTACTAGATGGGTTAGGTATTAACTCCCCATTACAGATAGCAGTTTCGTCAAACTGCACCCTAATACCTTCTCCACCTATTTTAACCATTTCTGGCTCTTATTCAGAAATTACTTGCAAAATCAAATCTTTGATTTTAATATAGGTAGTCTCCGAACAATCGCAGAAATCAAT